GTTGCACAGACTCGATCCGGGAGGTCACTCGCTTCCGGCCGGCGGTTTCGCGAAAAGATTAAAACGTTTCTTCAGCGTCGACTGAATTCCAATGCATCCTCTGCCTCCTTGCGATTCGAAACGTGCATTCGGGCAGCGACACAGATTGCCCACAGGAGAAGGGCGAGCACGACAAACCCGACGCAGCCTGCAACGAGTTCGAGACTGCACGACGCGGTTCCGCCTCGCGGGTCTCCGCTGCAGGAGTACGAAGCACCCCAAAGATCGAAGTCCATCAAATCTACGCCGTCTAGGTCGAGAATCAAGTCGGGGCAGTCGACCGTTTCCACCAGCATGCTATTGACCACCGTTGCGCGACCGGACGTCTTCCTGAACACGACCGACCCACCTTCGAGAAAGCTGAAGGTACCGTTCTGCGCGTGAAACTTCCTATCCGGCAACAGACCCGAAATGTGTACGAGGACCGGAGGAGGAGGAGGACGGAAACCCAGGCTCACCACGCCGTTGTTGTCGTCACCACCACCACCCAACACTCGGAGCCGCGTCAAGGATACGTTACTCACGCGGCCAATGCCAGACACCCGGACGAAGGCCGAGTTGGAATTTCGTTTTCCCGAATATCCGTCGCAACGAAACGCGAACCGCTCCAGGCGAACGTTATCCGTAAGCAAAAGTGCGTTACAGCTGCTGCTACCACCGCCGCCGCCACCACTGCCGTTTACCAGTACGATTCCCTCGATGCACAGCGGACGTATCGAAATGCGTGGCGCGATTATCTGGCCCGAAATCCTACTCTGCAAGGAAGACTTTTTGCAATATCGATCCATTGCGATCATCTAACCCGATGTCATCTGGTACCAATACAAACGTAACGTGTCGGTCGATCACCCCGCTCAAATCGTTCCAATGGCCAAAAACGGTCTCGGGGGAAGGGGGGAAAGGGCGGAGGATGAGAAGGAGGATAAAGACGAAGCCGCCACTACGATCGAGAAGCATAGAATGACGCAGAACATTTCGCGCTTCGAACGTATAAGAATCGAACGTTAATCTCCAGAGTAGCATTACAGAGCAATATACCGAGATGAAGAGAGTCCAATTTTTCTGTCTACTGATTGCAACAGCAGCAGCTTGTTCGATGGCAAACGCATACAAGTTAAGCGTTAAACACAGTTTGCATTGCGAAGCACATAACCTGATAGACGTGAAGAATTGTCTAAAACTTTCCGGCCACGGTCAAGAAAACCTCACGGCGAACGATGCTTTTACGGCGGGAAAGGCCAATGGATGTTCTACCGAGACGCACGTGCGTTGGCATCCGATTCAGGCGATCTTCGTGATAACATACCGGCAATCGTCACAATAGGCGTTGCTGCAGCTGTTGTATCCTGTCTAATCGTCGGTGCGTGTATTTACTGCATCAGAAGAAAAATAGAATCCGGAAGATAGAGACCGTTCGAGAAAGAGGGACGTTCGAGTTACAGAGCAAGGAGGGTATCCGACAACAATGTTTGAAGAAAAAGAACAAATTTTGTAATAAAAAACTATACAAAAAAAAAGGAAATAGTCTATTTTGTTTTTATTTATTGTAGCACTGGGTATTCAAAACGTAATCTCTTAGCACGCCGGGTAACGAGGAAACGTCCAAGTTGAACTTCACTATGGTCAATCTGCAAAAAACTTGTAACGAATGCACCGAATTACTCGAATCGATGCTGTACCGAAAGCTCACGGGTGAACGACCGCACAAACCGGTTCTGATGCTGAACCGAAATATGTCTTTGGGAAGAAACCATAAAACGGTCTTACCACCCGACGAGGTTACTTTCGACAACGTCCTGTTCACCCTGTCGTGTTCGATGGTGATCCCGTCACCTCGCATCTCCACCCACCAAAATCCTCGATTGCTGACGATGCCGACGTTGCGGACGTTTCCCATGGAGCGGCTGATCGTCAGTCGATGCACCCGTTCGCTCGATTCGGTTATCGAGAAATCCACGGTCAGCACTCCCGGCATGGTCTCTTGCCACATTCTTCCACGACGAATTTAAGGTTCTCGACGGACGAAAGTTCGTCGACGTTGAACGTACAACTCCTCAACACGACAACGACGTGACGCCAGTTTAACGATCTGGCAAGTTTTGACGGCGAAACGTCCATCTCGACCAGACATAAGGTAATCGGCGAGTCACGATCGCCGCGAGCGCAGCGAGAACGCTCTCCGAACACCATGGAATTGCAACGCACAAACTAGACGTGTCGCAGCGCTTCGCTGTCGGCCATCAGACGCGCAAAGAACGAATCGCCAACGGGTACGTCGACCAGCACGAGTGTCTGCAAGGAGGGCAGAGCAGCGAACGCATCTGCAAATCTGCCAACGAGGCAATAACCGTCGTTGTTCTTCTTCTTCCCGAAGCGATCCAACGCGAACGCAATTTTCTCCGGGTTGTGTTCCGCCAATTCGGTCTGCATTAATTTCATCGCGGTGACAAAATCCAGCAGCACGGGCCCGTTTTCCATCGCCCGAAGCACGCCGCCGACCGTTTCTCTTCTTCTTCCGACGAGGCAACGCATATTGTAACAGCCGTCGCACATGCTGTCGGGGCGAATTCCTTTTCTCTTCGTCGCGACACCGGAACACACGTCGCACACAAACTTCTCGCACTGGACGCACGTCGAATTTTTCGTGCATCCCCTGCAAGCTCTCGTACCGCAACAATCGCATTGGTACGACGACGACGATGACGCTCGACCGCACCCGCATCTGTTGACTTTTTTCGAACTGTGCATGACCCCATCCCAAGCGGTCGACAAGTTCGAAATGCGCAGACGGACCACGTGATCATCCCTCAACGCTGTAACGATTGCGTCCGTTAGATTTGAGGGCAATCTAGCCTTCATGGGGGGTTTTTATTTGTCCCCTGTTCAACTGGCATACAAATACACGTTTATATTACGACAGACAAAAACAAACCACAAAATTTAGTTTTGTAACTCAACAAATTTTTTTTTATTCGACATCGTTTTCGTCAAAATCACAAATATCGGTTCTCATAAGGGGAACGCACACGTCAAGAATTTCTATCTGCGCTATGTTGAGTGTAGTCCATTTCAGTTGATCTTTGAGGATGACGGATTCCGTCTTTCGTATACCGTTCCACGTTACTGCACCGGCTATCTTGGTCGTACCCAAACTTTTGGTATTTGCAGCCCTTTGCAATGGAACGATCATGTACACGGTACTCGAACCGTAAATGCCGATTTTACGACGA